CAATTATCTTTCAAAAGGTATCCAACATGTATATAAAGATATTCATATATGGATGTTCACTGCAGTATTGTTTGAAATAGCTGAAGATCAGGCTCAAACAAATTGTTCATTGATAGTGGATTTTTCATACTATGAAACACTATGTAAGAGAATTGGGTATATACCTGGGCTAAAAATAAGGAACAAATCACCTTACATTGAATAGAATGGCTGCTATAAAAATAAACAGAAAATAAGCATTGGCAAGGATGTGGAGAAATTAGAACTTTTGTGTTCTGTTGGGGGAATGTAAAATAGTACAACCGCTATAGAAAACAGTATGGAGGTTCCAAAAAACAAACAAACAACAACAACAACAAGCACACACACAAAAAACCCAGAGCTATCATATGATCCAGCAATTCCACTTGTGGGTATATATCCAAAAGAATTGAAAGCTCAAATAAATGAGCTGCCTTGTTTCAAAGCAATACATTTTCTACTAGTTTCTGCTATATTCACTGATTCAACCAAGTTTTAAATATAAAGATAACAGAGTTACATTCCACAGTGACATAAATATATTAAAGTAAACTAAAATTTCCACAAAAGTCTTGTCTTTTTTTTTTTTTTTTTTCTGAGACAGAGTCTTGCTCTGTCGCCCAGGCTGTAGTGCAGTTGTACGATCTGGGCTCACTGCAACCCCCACCTCCCGGGTTCAAGTGATTCTCCTGTCTCAGCCTCCTAAGTAGCTGGAATTACAGGCGCGTGCCACCATGCCCGACTAATTTTTGTATTTTTTAGTAGAGACGATGTTTCACCATGTTGGCCAGACCGGTGTCCAACTCCTGATCTCAAGTGATCCTTCCCGCTCGACCTCCCAAAGTGCTGGTATTACAGGTGTGAGCCACCGTGTCTGGCCTTTTTTTTTTTTTTTTTTTTTTGAGATAGAGTCTCGCTCTGTCGCCCAGAGTGAGGCAGGGGTGTGATCTCAGTTCACTGCAACCTCTGCCTCCTGGGTTCAAGTGATTCTCCTGCCTCAGCCTCCTGAGTAGCTGGGACCACCCAAGTAGCTGGGACCACAGGGATGCGCCACAACACCTGGCTAATTTTTGTATTTTTTGGTAGAGACAGGGTTTTGCCATGGTGTCCAGGCTGGTCTCGAACTCCTGACCTCAAGCGATCCACCCACTTCGGTCTCACAGAGTGCTGGGAGTGAGCCACAGTGTTGTGCAGAAATTTCCACAAATAGTTTTAAAAGGCAAGAGGGTCAAATGAATTGAGTGGGTTTCATGGCTGCCTTTCAATACAATTCTGTGCCTTCAGGTTGTACCCATGGCTAATGATTTTATCCAAAGGACAACAGGCCAGGCACAGTGTGGCTCATGCCTGTAAGCCCAGCACTTTGGGAGGCCAAGGCAGGCGAATTGCTTGAGGCCAGGAGTTTGAGACCAGCCTGGACAACATGAAAAACAACAATTAAAAAATTTGTTTCCTTTCTCAACTTAAAAAAAAAAGAAAAAAAGAAAAGAAATTAGCTGGGCGTGATGGCCTGTAATCCCAGCTACTCAGGAGTCTGAGACAGAATTGCTTGAATTTGGAAGGCGGAGGTTGCAGTGAGCTGAGATCGCACCATTGCACTCCAGCCTGGGTGACTGAGCTACACTGTGTCTCAAAAATGAACAAACAAACAAACAAAAAAACCCGAAGTACAACATTTGGAGACTGCACTTTTTGCTGTTTCTCAGGTAAGGTAAGTTGATTTTTTTTTTCAGTGCTATCAATAACATAGTGAATCAATGCTACATGACAGTTTTCCAGTGCTACATAACATAACTCTTATTTTGTCCGGACTCAGAAGGAAGCTTACAGTAGATGAATCCCTTGCAAACTGATTCATTTCTCGTGTTGATTTTCAAAGGTCTAGAATAGGATGGCAGCATTTCAAATTATTGAACACTTGAATAATCTCCTTGAATTTTTTATTCACCTTAAAACTGGATAGTAAACAGGCATTACTGATTTGGGGGTTATAAAGGATTTATGACAGCAAAAGTTAAAAATTTGTTTTCTTTCTAATATTTTGATTCTGTTGTCACTTTGTTCGAAAACTAATGATAATTTTCTGCCCTGTATATGTATATGGACCATAATAATATAATTGGGTATCTGCTATCAAATTTATAGTCTTCAAGAAAAAGTCACATCAAATAACAGAAACTGCTTAAGCCCCTTTTATTTTTATTTCGCAATGCTAGAAGGAATTCTAAGCCATATTGCTTACTGCTCTTTAGGTTTTACTTTTCTAAATTTCAATGGTATCTTACACTTATGATGTATTTAACTAACATTAAAATGTAGATGTTTTAAGAATTTTAGTTTTGTTAAGGCCTTTCTAAATATAATTTAAGTAATAAAGGATTATTATAAGAGTAACAACTAGGATTAGGAATTTTTTTAGGTTCGTCTGTGCTATGTTTACTGATTACATCACTTAGAGTGACATTGTACTTTGAAAATATATATCAAATGATAGCATAACAGGGTAGTTCTGTTACTAAATATTTTGTGCAAATCTTAAAAAAAAAGACTAATTTTTCTGATAATCTCTTCTTGTAACTGGTAAATTCAAGGGTTTTGTCTCACCCAGGAAAGGCTTTTCATTAAAAGATGAGATCAAAGCATTATGTCACTGACATTTATTAAATGCTCACAATGTGCCACTCTCTGGGGTAAGTCCAAATACCAACGTTCAAAATAACATTGCAAAGGATTATTCTCATTACACAAATGAAAAAAGAGTGGCCCAGAAAATTAAGTCACTTGCCCAAGCTGTGTCATAAAGCTAATAAGTGGGAATAACTGGATTTTGAACCATGATTTTTTTTCCCCAGACATTGGTAGTAATAGGTTTTCAAGTCAGTTTTCTTGGTGTTATTTCTATTTTTGCTTTTATTTTTAACTTTTGTTGCTTATGCCCCAAAATGAAATGAATGACATGCATTCTTCATGTACATTGTTTGAAACAAAAGTCCTGGAAAGACACTAACAGGAATATAATTTATTGATAAGCTGAATTCTGTTTTACTTTTTCCCAGTAGTCTATGCATTAGAAAAGAAAATATTTCACTAAAGTAATTAAAGCACAAAATCTTTAAGATTCAACAACAACAACAAAAAGCTTTAGATGACAAGAGAAGCAATTTTTCCTTTGTTATTACTTTAATATATCCCATTTGGAGCATTGGTTAACCTAAAAAACAAATCAACGTAATGATTAGCAGCATAGCATCTAGAACTAAATTGCTCAGGTTAGAATCTCAGCTCTCGTTACTTAATCGCTCATGTAGGGCTGTAGCTCAAACCTTCTATGCCTCAGTTTCCTCATTTAAAAAATAGGGACAAAAATGGAATTTCGGTCATAGTTTTTTTTTGTTAGTACTAAATACCTTTATACAGTTCGTATATGTAAAACCCTTTTCATGGTTCTTAACACAATAAGGAATAGCTATTAAATTTTCAGGTCAATTTATTTAACTGAAATGATTATGTGTACTGCATCAGTGTACACAGATTTGTTTTATATTGGATGGAATATAACTTAAGAGATTAAACGATACAAAATGTTATACTAGATTTTATTTTAAAGCATAAGAATATTCAAAATATTATAACTATATTAAGCTATATTCTGTATTTTAATTATATATTAAAACTGTATTCTTAGAATGGGCCTTGTGATATGGAAGTCAAGAAAGTGAATGCTACCTGAGGGAGCTCCACCAGAGAAACCAAATGTATATATAAGGGACGTGGCCATCGTGGTCTCCTCTGTGCTGAAGGGTCTATACTTTGGGGTGGGGCGGGGTGTAAATGATAGACTCAGTTCCTGTATTCCACTTTCAAAAGATATAAAGGAATTAAATTCAGAGACGAGCCTTGAACCCAGGTCTTTACAGCAACAGAGCCTGGAGGAACGTGGCCGGAATTGTGTTCAAATTGTTGGACCACCATGGGCAGGAGGGACAAGACTGGCTTTGCATGTCCTCAAACGTGCAGAAGTTACCAGGGGACCGGTTTCCCTCACCCTCGAGCCAGGAAGTCGGAGACCCAAACGGTGGTACGCGGAGTCAGTGAGTCCTGGTCGCTGGAAGTTGGCCAGCCTCAGAAAGCAGGCCCCAGAAACAGAAAAAACAATGCGGGGATAGTCAGTCGATGGCTTTTGTGGTTCTTGCTCACTCCATGATGTGTAATTTTGGCCAAGCGCGTGGCCACTTCCCAGGAGTCCCACTTCAGCGATGAGGTGAACAACATCACCTCTTGTTGTATACACCTCTAGTTGTATACTCGTTTTTTCAAAGGAAATAGGTCGCGTGGGGGTTGGTAGGCCAAGTGAGTTTCAGCTTCTAAATCACTGTAACTTCGTGGCGGCTGGGGGTGAGCAGCGGCGCATTGGGATAAACTTCGGCTCGGCCTTTGCAGCATGAGAGGGGTGGGGTTACTTGAAGGGCTCCTCAGGAGAAGGCGATTGGCCCTGGGGAAATCAGGGGGCGGAACGAGTCCATCATTGCCACTAGTCTTGCCGGCAAGTTCAGGGCAAGCGGCGAGGGCGGCCGAGCCCCGAGGGCAGCCAGCGCGCGGGCAGAAGAACCAGCAGTCGCGAGCCACTAGGCAGCCGCGGTGAGCTCGCCAGAGCCGCAGGGGATCGAGGAGGTCACGGGGCGTTGGCACTGGCGTTGCCCTCTTAGATAAGGCGAGGACGCTTCTGCGCGCGGTAAGCTCGACGCGAGCCATTCAACAGCTGGCTTCGCGAGCGACAGTCGCACGGGGTGACTGGGACCGCTGACGGTTGCGACTGCGGCGGTTGGAGGGAGGCGACGACGGCGGCGTAGACGTTGGCGGCAGCGGCAGCGGCGTCGGCGTCGTCGGCGGCGTCGGCGGCGTCGGCGGCGTCGGCGGCGGCGGGAGCGGTAGTCCAGTTATCCCAGCGGATCCTGAAGTAGAGAGGAGCGGTTCCTGAAGCTCCCGGTAAATGCCCTCCGCTCTGTCCTGAGAGAAGGCAGCCACGCTGGGCCCTCGGTGGGGATTGGGGAGGGGCTGCACAAGAGACCCGAGTTGCCCCGCTTGCCTCAGCAGAGTCACGTTTTCCAGAGTAACGCCGAGGCTCTTCCAGGTCCACTCTCCCCTCACCCCAGACTCCGCTGCGCCAGGGAGCGCACCGGAACCCACTCGAGGGCTCACCCAGACCGCTGCTCCGGCGAAGGTCGAGGCATTCCCCTGGGGCACGTTGGCAGTGATATCCCGCTAATGGGAACTGAAGGTGCCCTCTCCTGCTCGACCGGTACGCCAAGTGCCCATCATTAGCAGGTCTCTGCCGCCGCCGCCCCCTGATGACCCTCATCCTTGGCTTTAGGGACTTCTCAAGAGATTCTGAGTCTCAGCTTGAGGTTTCCAGCGGGGTGGATTAAGACCGTTTTAATCTGACCGTGACTTGCTCACCCACAAGTCTTTCGGGATGCAAGATCCTGAGCTTGGGTTGGTGGGCAGAGGGGCGAGGGGAAGAATCAAGTTGGGGAGGCCCATGCTATAGGGTATGCATGCCATACCCGCACTCCGGGGAAATCATAGTCGTGGTCCTTGGGACAAGTGCCGCCTTTTCGTCTCCTGCTTTTTGTGTTTTTATTTAAAGTCGACCATTACAAGAGGCAGAATTTTCTAGTGCTGCTAACTCTGAGGGATAACAAACGTGTACTGGAACGCTGGGTTCCGGTATGGGAAACAGGTTAGCTTTTGGGCCTCTTCTTGGTGTCTTTTCTAGATTGAGAATATGGTCTCTTGGCCGGGCGCGGTGGCTCAAGCCTGTAATCCCAGCACTTTGGGAGGCCGAGTCGGGCGGATCACGAGGTCAGGAGATAAAGAGACCGTCCTGGCTAATACGGTGAAACCCCGTCTCTACTGAAAAATACAAAAAAACTAGCCGGGCGAGGTGGCGGGCGCCTGTAGTCCCAGCTACTCGGGAGGCTGAGGCAGGAGAATGGCGGGAACCCGGGAGGCGGAGCTTGCAGTGAGCCGCCACTGCACTCCAGCCTGGGTGACAGAGCGAGACTCCGTCTCAAAAAAAAAAAAAAAAAAAAAAAAAAAGAATATAGTCTCAAAGATCATGCCCATTTTGCCCTGTTTTCCTGCCTACCTCTGATCTAACCTTGGAACCTCATGCTGTTGAGAGTGTAAACTTGTGCAGTGCAATTGGTAGTGGCCACTCTTCATGCTGAGAAAACCATTTTTTGGAAAAATATGTTGGGACTTCTCAAATTCTGTGTTGTTGTTTGTTTGCCTTTTGAAGCATGTGACATTCCAGCAGTTGCATTTTTCTGTGCTCTGGTTTTTTGGGGGGAGGGGAGAGAGGCCAGGGGAGGCCTTCAAAACATGGAGTAACTTCCATGAAGGCATTTTTCCTTCAACCATTGTGGAGCACAGAGGAAAGCGACTAGTGGAATAGGCCTGCTGGCGAAGGTGCCAAGAGGATCCCAGCTGCCACACACATTAGGATGGATGGGGCTGACTTGAGGTGGAGTAACATTGGACGGGAGGCGGGCAGGGCCTGCAGAGTCCACCTTGGCTTTTGTAGTTGCTTTCCATTTTGTTCCAGCCAAAGAGTATACCTGCAGTGCAGCCTGTTTGTCCAAGTTCCCATCATACACTTATGTGAAGAGAGTGGCCTTTGCTGGCTTCATGTGTCATCTCTACCCACAGTAAGAAAGGCGAGGTATAGAGGTTAGAGAACATGGAGATGGCAATGGTGGTGGTGCTGATGCGTGTGTGAGAGAGAGACTTATTCCAAACAGTGAAGCAGTTTATCTTCCCAGCATGCATTCCTACCTTTGCTAGACACAGAGACTTACTGAGTTATTTCAGATCCAGGGTGCTGGTAGTTGTCCAACTCTCTGATTCAGTGTACACTTGGGTCTGTGGGTTCTATGTTGTATCCAACATGCTCCTGGCACTTTAAGAAGCTATAAAACCAAGCTGTGGGCTGAGGCAGGCTAATGCCTGGGGTGCAGTTAGAGCAAATGTGGACATCATGGAATCCAGTTGCCCTTTGCTCAGAAGAGACAAAGTGCTGGAGCACTTGCAGAAGAAGAGGAAGGTCAGTGAAAATTTAGTAGTCATAATAATAATGAAAATTTACTGAACGCTCACTGGAAGTTAAGTACTTTACTTGGATCTTTTTTTTTTTTTTTTAATACTTTCCAAAGTGTTGTCTTTTATTTATTTATTTATTTTTATTATACTTTAAGTTCTAGGGTACAAGTGCACAACGTGCAGGTTTGTTACATATGTATACATGTGCCATGTTGGCGTGCTGCACCCATTAACTTGTCATTTACATTAGGTATATCTCCTGATACTACCCCTCACCCCTCCCCACTTCCCACAACAGGACCCGGTGTGTGATGTTCCCCTTCCTGTCTCCAAGTGTTCTCATTGTTCAATTCCCACCTGTGAGTGAGAACATGCGGTGTTTGGTTTTCTGTTCTTGGGATAGTTTGCTGAGAATGATGGTTTCCAGCTGCATCCATGTCCCTACAAAGGACATGAACTCATCCTTTTTTATGGCTGCATAGTATTCCATGGTGTATATGTGCCACATTTTCTTAATCCAGTCTGTCATTGATGGACATTTGGGTTGTTTCTAAGTCTTTGCTATTGTGAATAGTGCCACAATAAACATACGTGTGCATATGTCTTTATAGCAGCATGATTTATAATCCTTTGGGTATATACCCAGTAATGGGATGGCTGGGTCAAATGGTATTTCTAGTTCTAGTGGATTGTTTTAATTAATTAATTTATTTGGAGATGGAGTTTCACTCTTGTTGCCCAGGCTGGAGTACAGTGCACAATCCCGGCTCACTGCGGCCTCCATCTCCCGGATTCAAATGATTCTCCTGCCTCAGCCTCCCAAGTAGCTGGGATTAAAGGTGCATGCCACTGCACCTGGCTAATTTTTGTATTTTTGGTAGACACGGGGTTTCACCATGTTGGCCAGGGTGGTCTCAAATTCCTGACTTCGAATGATCCACCTGCCTCAGCCCCCCAAAGTGCTGGGATTACAGGCGTGAGCCACTGCACCAGGCCGCATCATTTTATTTAATCCCACCTGTAAGATAGGCACTATTATCATCTTCTGAAGCTCAAAGAGGTTAGGTAGCATGCCCAAGGATGTCACCAAGCTGATCAGTGGCAGAGGCGGGATTTGAACCCGAATCTGCTTGACACCAGACCTTGAGCTCAAAAGCATTTTGGTTTTTACTGTCACAGGGAAGGTTACATAAAAGAGGTGAAATGGAGCAAGGTTTTGAAGGGTGAGTAGGCTTTAGATGAGGAGAGGGAATATTTGGCTGAGGGGATCAACATCTTTAAAGGAACTCAAGGAAGATTGGCCCAACTAGAATGGGGGATGGACACAGGGGCGTGGTGAAAATAGGACTGGCAAGGTGGGGTAGGATCATGTTTTGGAGAGCATTGAAGGGAAACTGTGACATGAAGCAGTAAGAAGTGGGGGATGTTGAGAATTTTTGGGCAAGGAAGAGCATGGCAAAGGCAGTATCCGTCACCTGGTGTGACCAGCATGTGCCTCTCTCATCCTTTCTTGAGAACCTTACCCAATGGTAGCACATTTAGATGTTGTTTTTGGATTTCCTGAACCCCTACAGAGTAGCAGACACATGCAACCAAATAGATTCCTGGGTCCAATGTGCAGGAGGAACATGCTAGGGGCCCTGGGTCAAACTCAGCCCTAGATGAGTGTGCTGCAGCCTGCACAGGATTTGAAAAAGCAATTGAATTAGTGGTCGACATTGAAAAAGCAAAAGAGCTCAGTAAGAATCAGGATTTCCAGCTTATCTTGAAATACTGGAAGGCCTGGTCTGCATTTCATTTGTGGAGGGCAAAGCTGTGCGGAACTGACTTTTTTAGCAAGGGGCAAGTGCTCTGCTTTCCCATAATCCTACCCAGTCCCCAGCCCCCGTGCTCAGTACCTACCTAATCCTGTAGGCCCTGGGCCACTGCTCAAGGGAAACAAGACCCCACTTGGGAAGTTTCACACTCAGGATTAGCTTCTTGTCTTATTGTGTAATTAGGAAATTGTCAGACATGCAGTGAAACTGTTTCTGTGAAGGGTGAGTAATCTTAACACACAGGAATGCTGTGGACCTTATTGTGAAGCATTATCCATAGATGGTAGCTTTCCTCAGGCCTGGGGTTGAAAGCCCGCTGTGCTAGGGCCCCAAAGAGACATTCTGGTGGGCCTTGCTGTTCTTCATCCTTTGCTTGCACTCAGGTTTTCTGTTTGCTGAATAGTTGATGTGTATAGGATCTGGGTCAAAATGATTAAAAAAAAAAAAAAATCAGGGAGAATAAAAACAACTCAGAAGTGACTTCCTAAAAGATAGCATGTTAAAAATATTAATCTGGAGTCCCAGAAAGTGCTCCATATGTTTTAGATGGGCAGGTATAAGCCGCTCTGTGTTGGCATTTGAGATGGGGAGTTCTTTGTTGTGCAGGTCTGTTTAGGAACTGCAGGGCAGTTAGCATCGCTGGCCCCCTGCTAACCAAATGGCAGTGGTGTCCTCCCCATGCTAGTTATTGTGACAGGTACAACTATTGTTATGCATGTCCCAACACTCTTGAAGGGAGCAATACTCACACACTTAAACATGACTGGAGCCTATTCTCAGGAATTGTAACAGTGATTTCATGTGAAAGAATGTTAAAACCATTATTGCTTGTCTGTAGCCCAGAGTACCGAATGTCTCTCCTGACATTCACCATTTTCTTCCTTAGATTCCAGTTAATTGTCTCAATTTCTTTCTCTTTCTAGACTCAGTTGTTTGAGGGTGACTCTTCCCTGTGGTCCCCAAAGTGTCTTAAAGGTGCTTGGTAGGTACACTTAAATTAATCTCAATGTTCACTGATTAATGTTAATAGGTCTAGGAGTCAAAATGAACAAGCAAGTCTGCATTATC